TAGTTGACATGTAGCTGCAAAGTCACTTACAGTTAGTAGAATTTCTAAAGTGGACTCTCGAAATAAAGTGTAACCGAACTTTCTACTCAAAAGAATCTGGAAAAAATTTGATTCAATCCTAAACTTTTGAACCCTAGTGTATATTTCACCATAATTAACTAAATGAACTTTTATGGACCAGGGTGGAAGAATATAGAAGTCTGTGTCCATTAATAAATAATTCTTTCATTTGACATTGATGCATTTATTTTTTACATATGTATTTATTTCTTAAATATTTATTAGGTTAGGAATCAAATGGCAATCATCCATCTAAAAACATCTTGCAGGAAAGGGACGGAGCATTAAGAAAAAAACAAAGCACTCGCTCAAATTTTACCCCCATGATCTCTACCTCCCCCAACAGTTGTACCATTTCCAAGTGGCAATTAAACCCACCAGCATCACTCAATGTAATCCCAACAGAGGGATCCATAACAGCCCCACACACCCTGATGTCAGTAAATGTACAACAGTGCTCTCTTTGGCATCGCTTGCCAGGTTGTACGAGGTCATTTAGTGCAAGTTGAATAGACAAACCTCACTCACAGGGCATGTTTCCCTTTTTTATTCCTTTTCCGCATCCCAAAATGTGTGCTTCCCTTGCTCTTTTTCTCTTTTGCTGACTTACTCTCATTCATCTTCTGCCTTTTAAAGAGCGCATCCTCTTCAGCTTCAGAGTTGGATTAACTCGGGCGACTCCCATGGCTGTGAATAGATAGTGTTGCTAGGCGACGACTGAGATCAGTTAATCTGTGGATAGTGTGTACAGCGTTTGCCCTACCTGCCCGCTCTGTAGCTCACATCCTAGGGTATGAACCATGAACTCCTGATGACCCATATATGCATATGCATCATGCTGTTTTCTCCCTGCACAGTGATAGACACCCTGACAATTAGGAATGCGTCATAGCCGTACCATTTTGGCTACTACACTGCAAACAAATATTTTCTTAGTATTTTTGTCTCGTTTTCCAGTACAACTATCTAGACATTAAATGAGACCTAAATGAGTGTTACTGATTTATAATAACAGCAATTTCTGGAATATCAGCCATAACATAAAAATAATTTTTGGCTTATCCAAAATGTAGGTTTTGGCAAAAAAATGGCAATATTGTTCATAAACTCCTCACATACAGTAGTGCAAGCCGTGATTCTTGATGCTGTTCTCAATGTCAATGTTCTGTATTGGTTGCGTTTGTGTTGGATGTTGCTTCTAACTAATACCACCTAATCTAACTAAAGCCCTGTAATCCACTTAAAATGAGGTTATGAGTGTGCTGCTGGATCCGTGAGGATGCTATTATGTATTCATGTACTGCTGTGATCTGTGCGTCTATACAATGAGGAAACAAAAACACGTCAGAAGGAGACTGCAAAACACTTCACAAACAATCAATCAATCAATAAATGGTGCGTTTGATAGATACAATTAGATATAATTTAATTGAAATGTATATCTGCTGTCTGTTCTTATAAATATCATCTACTGTATCTCTTAGTCTTTAAAGTATAATGTGTAATTTGTAATATGTCCTACAGATGCATTAAGTGGTCACTCTATATTTCCTGCTTTGGTTCACAATGAACACACCCCCTCACATATTCAAAGTGCTAACACACGCACACACAAATACACACAATCACACAGTTCTTCAAATACACCCTATAGTGTAAATCCTCATATTTGCTGAGATCAGAGTTAGCTGCTTATTTGTTCAGTAAATGTGCGGTGCTCCGGTGAGCTCACCTCCCCTCAGCTGCATCCAGACAGCAAACACTGCATATCTTTTCAAAACATAGAAATCATAACCTTAGGAAACCAACCAAACCTGCAAAAAGTTCATACATTCATCTAACATTTTTTAATGTTACTTTCAATGTAGTACGTAACACAATGTTCCCATAATATATAGATACAGTGGGTATAGAAAAGAATCACCCCTCTTTAAAATAATCACATTTTGTTGCTTTGCAACCTGAAATGAATGAAGACGGACGCAGCTTTTGTTTTATCCAGCTGTATACTCAGTGCAACTTATAAAATCCAAGTGAAAGATATAACACCAACATGTCAGTAAAACAAAAAAACAAAACAGAATCACTGGGTTGGAAAAAGGATCACCCCCTTGTGTCAGTATTTTCTTGAATCACCTTTTGCTTTAATTACAGCCTTTAGTCTGTTGGGATGTGTCTCTGTCTCTACTAACTTTGCAAATCTAGACTTCGCAATATTTTCCCACTCTTCTTTGCAGAACTGCTCAAGTTAGTTCAATTTTATGGTGAGCGTTTGTGGACAGTCTTCAAGTCATTCCACAGATTTTCAATGGGGTTTAAGTCTAGGCCATGCAAGGACATTCACCTTTTTCTCCTTAAACCACTGCTTTACTAGGAATACAGTTATTTGGATGGCGTGTGCCCCTGGTGTTTGTACTGACACGATGCTATGGCCTTAGACGTGACAGCTTTTAATCTATTTTGACAGTTAATTTACAAATGCTGCACAACTTTTTAAGGATCTTTCAAAAGTTTTTACTTTACTTTTGCAAGTAATTTATTTTACACAAACAAGCTTATATTGAAATGTTTTTGTGTGCATGTGCTGAACACTAGCCCAAGTTAGTTACTAAAGAAATGCAATTTCTCCTCCACATGTTAGCTAAATTAGCTAGCTACATTTAAATGAATACCAAGTCTTTTCTACCATGTCACGCTTGATAAATTTACTACTGCAATTTTTAGCTGTTTATGGAAAACATGGAGATAACTTAACAGGTCATGGCTTCATGACAGTTGCAACCCGTTTGCTATATGTCCGTCTGTTCCTGTCAATCTGTCAGAATTAAGTGAGACTGGTGCTATACATTTATACCAGGGCTGTCTAAACTCAGTCCTGGAGGGCCAGTGTCCTGCAGAGTTTAGCTCCAACTTGCCTCAACACACCTGACTGGCTTGATTAGCTGGTTCAGGGGTGTTTGATTAGGGTTGGAGCTAAACTCTGCAGGACACCGGCCCTCCAGGACCGAGTTTGGACAGCCCTGATTTATACAATCAGTTGCAAAATTTCCATTTTATGTATTTTTTGTTCTAATTTTTTCATTTTACTGAAACCTACAATAGGCTGCTTAATGGCAGGTTCCATTGAGAAAACACTGTGTGACTATCATTATCACAAAATGTCAACTTATTTTCAACAATATCAAGCAATAACAGTTTTATTTTATTTTATTTTATTTTTAACTAAAACTTTACTTGCAAGTTTTATTCCTATAGAAATGGGATTTAAAAAATAAATCTATCTTGAGAAATATTCTCTTCCCTACAGTAAATCCAAAATTGCATATGCAAAAAGGTTCCGTCTGAAATTGAATTGCTCATTGAAAGAATATTACTGCATCTATCTATCTATCTATCTGATGCAATTCTCTAACTTTCTTGTCATTCCAAGATATGAGCTCACTGATGCCTTGCAGCGCCTCAGCTGTGCGGCTCGGGCTCCTTGTATGGAGCGACACGCGTGATGATTGCGCGCAGATGGGTGGGGGGCGTGTGGAAACTGATCTGCCACAGCGCGCACAGTCTAAAACAGACTCTTTAACGTACTGGAAAGCCGGAGAGACACGGAAACGCCCCACACCGGACTCCCCCTGCCAGTCTCCACATCTCTGGAGAAACATCTGAAGTAGCTGGAGAGACCAAAAGCATCTGTGATTTGTTTGTGGAAGTAGCGGCGCTCATGGCGGCAGCTCGGCTGCTTTAGGAGGGTCACTTCAGTGGATTTTAGTGGGAGAAACTTGTCTGTTGGATGTCAGTCAGAAGAATAATGGATGCGCTCAGATTGTCCGCTGCTCTTCTTCTACTTCTGTCTTTATTCAGCTGTGGAAGCGCTATACAGTTTCCCGACTCCCATCTGTAAGTAAACAGCACAAAACTGGCTATTATTGTTATGATTACTGAGTTGTCGCACTTCTTGCTATCAACAATTTTTGTTGACAATAATTGCAAAACACTTTAAAGTTTTTGTATTCCAAGTGCGGAAGGTAGACACGTTTGAGGATGCGTTTACACAGGACGCGTTTCGCGTTCCGTATGCGCTATTTTTGATAGAGTTGTTGGTCTGTGTAGATACACATGCGTCAGACGGACGTCTTTGGCCGTTGCGTTGCGTTTCCGCGGCGGCGTGTTAAGTTAAAGGGATAGTTCATAAAAAAGTAACAAATCTGTAAAGGGTAATCATTATTCATGTCGTTAGGTATTTTCATTATGGCACAAAAAATACATTTTGGAGAATTTCTTTACTATAGAGTGACATTGAATGGTGACTGAAGATATCAAGCCTCAAAATAGAACACAAAATGCCCATAGAAGTAGCATGAAAGTAGCCTAGTTCAGATGACTCGTTTACTGCATTTCAAGGAGACAATGTGTGATGAACATACAGGTGCATCTCAATAAATTAGAATGTCGTGGAAAAGTTCATTTATTTCAGTAATTCAACTCAAATTGTGAAACTCGTGTATTAAATAAATTAAATGCACACAGACTGAAGTAGTTTAAGTCTTTGGTTCTTTTAATTGTGATGATTTTGGCTCACATTTAACAAAAACCCACCAATTCACAATCTCAACAAATTAGAATACTTCATAACACCAATAAAAAAAAACATTTTTAGTGAATTGTTGGCCTTCTGGAAAGTATGTTCATTTACTGTACATGTACTCAATACTTGGTAGGGGCTCCTTTTGCTTTAATTACTGCCTCAATTCGGCGTGGCATGGAGGTGATCAGTTTGTGGCACTGCTGAGGTGGTATGGAAGCCCAGGTTTCTTTGACAGTGGCCTTCAGCTCATCTGCATTTTTTGGTCTCTTGTTTCTAATTTTCCTCTTGACAATACCCCATAGATTCTCTATGGGGTTCAGGTCTGGTGAGTTTGCTGGCCAGTCAAGCACAGCTCAGATTGTCCGCTGCTCTTCTTCTACTTCTGTCTTTATTCAGCTGTGGAAGCGCTATACAGTTTCCCGACTCCCATCTGTAAGTAAACAGCACAAAACTGGCTATTATTGTTATGATTACTGAGTTGTCGCACTTCTTGCTATCAACAATTTTTGTTGACAATAATTGCAAAACACTTTAAAGTTTTTGTATTCCAAGTGCGGAAGGTAGACACGTTTGAGGATGCGTTTACACAGGACGCGTTTCGCGTTCCGTATGCGCTATTTTTGATAGAGTTGTTGGTCTGTGTAGATACACATGCGTCAGACGGACGTCTTTGGCCGTTGCGTTGCGTTTCCGCGGCGGCGTGTTAAGTTAAAGGGATAGTTCATAAAAAAGTAACAAATCTGTAAAGGGTAATCATTATTCATGTCGTTAGGTATTTTCATTATGGCACAAAAAATACATTTTGGAGAATTTCTTTACTATAGAGTGACATTGAATGGTGACTGAAGATATCAAGCCTCAAAATAGAACACAAAATGCCCATAGAAGTAGCATGAAAGTAGCCTAGTTCAGATGACTCGTTTACTGCATTTCAAGGAGACAATGTGTGATGAACATACAGGTGCATCTCAATAAATTAGAATGTCGTGGAAAAGTTCATTTATTTCAGTAATTCAACTCAAATTGTGAAACTCGTGTATTAAATAAATTAAATGCACACAGACTGAAGTAGTTTAAGTCTTTGGTTCTTTTAATTGTGATGATTTTGGCTCACATTTAACAAAAACCCACCAATTCACTATCTCAACAAATTAGAATACTTCATAAGACCAATAAAAAAAAACATTTTTAGTGAATTGTTGGCCTTCTGGAAAGTATGTTCATTTACTGTACATGTACTCAATACTTGGTAGGGGCTCCTTTTATGAAATTTAATGAGCTTCTTTGTGAAAACTCTTTCTTTTTGGCATGTTCCGTGACATCCTATTAGTGAATGAATTATATATATATATATACAGTGGGGAAAAAAAGTATTTAGTCAGCCACCAATTGTGCAAGTTCTCCCACTTAAAAAGATGAGAGAGGCCTGTAATTTTCATCACAGGTATACCTCAACTATGAGAGACAAAATGAGAAAAAAAATCCAGAAAATCACATTGTAGGATTTTTAAAGAATTTATTTGCAAATTATGGTGGAAAATAAGTATTTGGTCAATAACAAAATTCTCAATACTTTGTTATATACCCTTTAACATTCACAAGTTTTTTTTTTTTTTAATTAATAGTTTTATTCAGCAAGGATGCATAAAAGGGATAATTCACCCAAAAATGAAAATTACCCCATGATTTACTCACCCTCAATCCATCCTCGGTGTTTATGACTTTCTTCTTTCAGACGAATACAATAGGAGTTATATTCAAAAATGTCCGGGCTCTTCCCAGCTTTATAATGGCAGTGAATGGGTGATATTCAACAGTCCAGTAGAAGTCCAATAAACTGTGTCCATCCATCATAAAAGTGCTCCACACAGCTCTGGGGGGAGGGATAATAAAGGCCTTCTGAAGCGAATCGATGCGTTTTTGTAAGAAAAATATCCATATAAAACATAAACATAATCTCTAATTTCCGCTAACTGTCGTACACGCGTTCACGAGAGAGTGGCATTCCAGCAGATGACGTAGACGTAACGTAAGCTCCGGTGAGAACCAAAGTTTGTTTACAGGAGCAAAGGAAGCAAAGTTTGTCTCCTCTTGGCTTATATCGAAATCCTCCAACTAGGGATGTAACGATTACCGGTTTGACGATAAATCATGAAAAAATTCCCGACAATTAGTATTACCGTTTCATCTTTTAATTATCATTAAAACTGGATTAGATTACCACGATTTGAACAACTCGCGATAAATAAATACTAACCAGCATGAAGCACAGTTTTAAGTAACAGCCTCACGTGTTCACAGCACGCAGAGTAGTTTCGTTTTGAGTGAAAACAGGGCGGAAAAGCTGGGAGGTTTTAAAAGAATTATACAAATGAATATATTAATGAATTAATTATATGAATGTACCTCTGAAGGTTCTGACTGTCTTCAGAAACGATTCGATGGCATTTTGTTTTCATCTTCGCTCCATGTAATACCTAAAGGAAGTGTTCTTAATCGCAACACTGCTTTGTCCACGGAGGTTACAGGAAACGGCTCTAATTCAGCTTTTCCATAAGCGCCACCTGCTGTCAGCGAGTGGATTTACAGATACCTATATTAACATTCAGCCTGTGTGCAGATTCTGTCTGGCCAAAACCTGACCGAATAATCAAAAATGAAAATGTTACATATAATGTTAAAGCATACTTTTCTCAGTATATTAGCCATATTGAGTCAGTTTTCAGCCACTGCTTTACCAGCATTTAGCCAGTGTTTAGTCACTTAGGCTGCATCTCTCTACATAGCCCTTATGAAAAATAATGATGGTTTTATCATAGTGTAGTAACCATGGTTTTTTTTGACAGATTGAGTACCATTTGTATAACCACAATTTTACTACAAATGCCATGGTTAGACTATGGTTAGTGTAGCAAAAGGTTTTATTTGTAGTAAAACCATGGCAAATTTTTGTAAGGGAGGTGGACAGGTTGATATCAATTTGACATTTCCCCTCACAGGCCAATTTCACTGTTTATAACTGATGCATGAGAAGCTGTACAAAGCCCGTAATGAAGAGTGAAGGAGAGATGTGTGTGTGTCAATTTAGCAATAGGAGAGATGGTTGAAGAGAAAACAAGTATATTTAGGATGAGAATAGCTCAAGGAATGAAAGTTGAAAGGGAATAAAATGAAAAAGATGATCCAAAATGGTCATAAGGAATTCCCCGAAAAGCATTTTCGGGCTGTCAGGATGATATAATGTGTTATTGAATGAGGAGTAAAAGTACATGTCAATGTGTGTTGCCATGGTTACTGTATAGGGTTGAGGTTAAGTTTAGTTAAGGTTAGAATATGATATGTTAACATTGCATTGGTGAACTTGAGATACTCTGGGCTCAACATACATGTGCATCTTGACGTCTGTTTCTAAGACTATATGTGCTATAATGAGACAGACAGATGTCCTGACCATGAGTGAAGGAAGGAGAAAAAGAGGGACAGAAAGGAGGAGAGATATATTTGTGGAGACAGCTTCGGTTGCCAGAGGAGATTACTAATGTGTAAAGAAACCCTACACTCTCCTCGATGGACTCACTCACGCACATACACAATCTCACCCCTCTGTGGCAGAATGCACAAAGTGCATATTTAGATTTCGGCTTCACAATTTGCAATTCATTCTGACATCAGTTTTAATCAGTAATTTCAATATCAGCACCTAAGGGATGCTCAGTCCCGAGAGAGAAAGATGCAGATTTTACGAGCTCAACAAGACAGGCATAGACAAAAATATTACATCCAAAAATATATATATGCTATTGTAGTTGCATTCATTCCTTCAGCTTTCCACCAAGTCTGACCTTAAAGGGATTGTTCATCCAAAAATGAAAATTATGACATTAATTACTCACCCTCAGCAGCGTTTCAACCACATAAGACACTTGTTCATCTTCGAAACACATTGGATTTTTAATGAAACCGGAGAGATTTCTGTCCTTCCAGTACAAATCAATTCCACTAAAACTTTTAAGCTTCAAAAAGTTCACAAAGGCATTGTAAAAGTAATCCATATGCATTAATCCGGTTTATTTACAAGTTTTCTGAAGAGACGATCATTTTATATGATGAACAGATTTATTTTAGGCGTTTAGTCACATTGATCATTGATCTTTGTCTTTATGAACTTTTTGAAGCTTGAAAGTTTTGGTGGAATAGACTTCCAATCTATAGCCGAACTATACAGTTCACCAAAAATGTAGGTTTTATTCTTATTTTGTTCCTGAGCCCTTAATATCTACTTTCCGAAGAATGTCCAAACTGCTTTTTTTTTTTTCATGAAATGAGTACTGAAGGGGAACTTTAAGCCATCAAAGCTTAAAGTACAGTATAAAAACCATACAGACCGTATATTCTATTGCCCTTCACCAACCCTACCCCTAAACCTACCCCTTACAGGAAACTTTGTGCTATTTCAGTTTTTCAATACACTCCATTCTGTGATTTATAAGCATTTTGAAAAGTGGGGACATGGGGTAATGTCCTGAAAAGTCACCTTCTCCTTGTAATACCTTTGTCATTATACAAATGTATGTCCTCATTTGTCACAAAAACGCGCACACACACACACAAAGGTTCAGCCTGCTCAAAAAGTTAGATGTGTTCAATGAAGATATGAAAGAGTATAGTTGTTTGTGTGGTGTTAGCTGAAGTTTGCCAATACTTGGGTTCACATACTTTTTCTTGGCACTATATCTCTTTCTTTGTGTGCATGAAATGATTGCCTGAAAGCACGGCAATGCAGGCTGGCTCCGTTTCAACAGTTTCTAATAATACAACAGTCTGTATTAGGAGAACATCCCTGGTCATTCACAATGTCACTGTGACTTTGTCTGGCTCCAGCCCCTCCCACCTTGACAGTGGGAACGAGAGCCGCGCAAGTTGTGCTGATGGTACTGTGCTGAATATAGCCAGTCAACGGAATTTGGGTTGCAGGTGGGTCACAGCGACAGCCCCACTGAACATTCTCCAGTGTTTTTTTTATCTTGGGTGTCATCGCTGGTTAACGGAGCATGCAAATGCAACACACTAGGTTACCTCAGATTAATGCGAGTTCCTAAGAACATTCATTTTGTACAGTCCTATAATAGTCCTGCTCAGATCAGTTGCTGGTAATGAATGAGTTAATATGAAATATTCATATGCAGCATTAATAAAATTTTTGAAAATTATGAAAATGCAAAATGTCATTGCAATTTTTCAGAGGGTTTACCGGTCTCGTTCTCTCTCTCTTTCACACATTTCTCACATACACACACAGCTCTTGTATATTACTGAGTGTGATTGAATTAAACCTCTTCTGTGCAAGAATCTTCACCACTGAACTGTAGGGACAAAAAGGAGGGAATATTCTAAGAATGAACCGCAGCTGCTTTTAGCATTGTTTAGATGCA